GGAATGAGAGCTGGCCTGAAACTTCTTTGACTTATACACTGAGGTCAGCTAGTCCAGCAACTTGTAGGATCAGAGGAGGCACTAAAAGATTAATTAAACTTGTGGTTTTTGTACCGCGTGAGATGATCAGTCACAGTAGGGTTTTTTTCACTGTTTTTGTGTCAAGGTTTTTGTAGAACTTAAATTTGGCAATGAGTTAAAAAATTAATATGGTCAGATTTTTTTTTTATAAACTCCTGACTTTACCATGTTATTAAGAAAATAATCTCTCTCTAATAAAGCTCTTTGCATACTCCTGCTACTGGAGTAGCTTGGCAAACTGAGGTCAGCTGACAATGGAGCAGGGAATTTCATAGGGTTTGTTTTCTCAATTTCTTTGTAATAGCTGCCTTCAGAAAATTACTAAGTTTAATTATGCAAAAAAATCATTTTCATAACTCCTCCCACTGAGCATTCTCTCTCTCATACAAGACATGTCATGGGAAGGAACTGATAAGTACTGTGACTTAGTCTTCAAGATTATATGTACCATTTAATTGAGATTAATTAGGCAGAAATATTCAGTTAACTCTGATAAAAGCCTCTGACTATTCTGCCCAATGGTTTAAATTCCTTCCTCCTAAGAGAGACATCTATAGCCTTATGCCAAGGAGTATATGTATTTATTAGACCCACATCTATCAGTATGGTAGGTCACTGTTATTTAAGTTAAATAACATACAAATGATCAGAAATAACCAGGATAGCAAAAAGATGGTGGCTTGAATCTGTGATAATAATATAAAATTTCATGAAGCACAAGTTTATACATTTCTTCGTTCAGGCTATGCAGTTATTTTATACAGAACAAATCAGGTCTGTGGATGGTAGTGATCAGCATCATCCCTGGCAGAATTTTTATCTCTGTTTTTAACACACTAATTCATTACACTTTATGCAACACTTGGGGACTTAGCACGCATCCTCTTCAAGTGTTAGTTGTATTTCTTGTATCCATATAATTCAGTGTCATATTACATCTCTCTCTTCCATTGAAAAGCCTTTCAAAGTCATTATAAGACATCTCCACACCAACGGTAAGTCTTTTTTGTAATTTTGAAAATTAGATTACTACGTAATGGACAGCTGCTAATATGTACCTTGGAACATTTCACTTTGTTAATGATTCTTGATGTCTTCTTTTCTCGCTCTTTGGATTTAGCTCCTCTTTCACTCAGGTATATTGGTGTCCCTAAGCCTTTCTGGGCCACAGCTGGAGAAAGTGGTGATTGACAGGACCCTGGTGGGGAAGCTCATCTCCGACACCATCAGTGATGGTAATTACACCCACGTGCAAATCAATTGCCTACATTAACAATAGAGGAGAAAAACAGTATGTCAACAGGTAGACTAATTATTGCCACTGGGGACTTGCAAACACAACAAGTAATTGCATGTAATGCCAGAGTTACAACCCTCAGGACTAAGAACACTTTAAGAATAATATTTAACATCAAAGTTTTCAGGCTTGTCAAATAATGAATGGGTTTCTAAAATTCAGTTTCTTACACGTTTTAATCACTGTGAACGTGCCATCTGAACTTGTCATGTTTATTTCATAAGTGGGAAAATGGGACAGAACCAAACATAAGCCAACTGATTTATTACATGGGATAGTTATTATTAAAATATTTACTTACTAGAAAAAGCTGGATAAGCATTAGTTATGTGGAGGTGTTCTGCTTTAGTTTCTAGATTTCCAGAATCTCAGTATTGTTATTAACAAGTCATTGCTAAAAACGAAGGTTTATTTTAATGCAGAAGAAAACTTATGAAAATTGACCTGATTTCAATAGCTTTATAATATGACAATAGTTTTTTCAATGTGTTTCTGCAGAGCTCCACTGAGAACTTAACTGAGTATCGTGGCATTTACATGATCAAGAATATGGAATTTTGGTGCAAGCAAAATTAGACATACATTATCTTCCAAAATCTTAAAACATGGACCCAAATTACATCCTCTTAATAAGAATATATGCTAGATTTAACTTTGATCTTTAATCATTTATTTACTTCTATATCCAGGCATCTATTGAATATTGGCCTGGTTATTTAAAAAAAACCTGCAGTACTGTGTCCCTCTGATGTTTTCTTATCAATATGTTATAGTTTAGTCTTGAAAAATATAAAAAAAATTTAACCCTAACCTCATTGGCTTAATGTGTCATAGAAATACAAATATTTTTTTAAAAATACCATTAACTAGAAAACCTTACAACTAAAGCAATAATAAAAAAATATTGTTTCCTACAGTTATACCACTCAAACTGCTATAAAACCTGTTAGATAATGGCTTGTCCTTATTTTAACTTACTCAAGAATTTCTTAAACCTCCATGTTTGGTAATACCCGTGTCTGAAGGTGACATAGGACTGCCTCTGATGAGTAAAAGCAAAATCCCTACTACCTGTCTTTGCAATACATGCTTTATTTTCATGAGCAAAAAAAGAAGATACTACTTTTACCCATGCAAATACTGTTTTAAGTACGAATTTTTATACTGAACTAACCTTATGTGAGAACATAATGTCGTATAATAAATTAACTTTAATCCAATGTAATTGCACATCCTTCCAAATCTAGTTTGGAATTAGGGTTATTAGTACAAAGTTGGCAAAAAAAATGAATACTTAATACAAAAAGCCTGGGTAAAAATAGTAGTTCTTATTTTAACAGTTGTGTATATGTAGAAATGGACAAGGAATATTATCTGCCAAAATTACTTATGTATTTTTGTCATTCTAACTCAGAGCAGCATGTCCTCTTAACACTTGGAATAAAGGTCAGATTGTGTACACAAAATACAGCATTAAGACTGTATTTATAAACCTCCTGCCTCTTACACAGTCCGTCTGATTTTTATTATTTATAGGGAAAATGTAAAAATTAATTTAATTAGAAATGATAGAAAGAAAAATTCCTAAAAGAAAACAGTGTTTTTCATTTTCTAAATTGTTTTGTGGCACTGAGGTCTTGTGGTACGAGTATATAGAATATTAACTACACTGCCAGCCTTTTTAGGGTAATCTGACTCTGAAGCATATGGATCCTCTCTGAATAATGGTCTAACTCTGCCCATAGTTGCATTCATGTCAATCTAGTCTCCACTTCTCCCCAGGTCAACCACAAATATGAAAATCAAGGGATTGCTAGTCTCATTCACACCTGCCCAGGGATCTTTGAATCCTACTTTCTTTCCTCCAATCAAAACAAATTTCAGAAGCATCTGAGGTGTGCTGTAGGTCATCTTTAATATAAAGCATGTCTGTGAGGAGCTCAAAATATTTTAACTGCATACATATTGAAGATACCATACTCTGGTTTTTAATTTTCATGTGGCTTTAGGATCTTGGTTGTAGCTTCTAACTCATGTCAGACACTTTATCACCTTTTTTTTTTTTTTTTTCTCAAAAGCTGATGTTAATGATGTTAAAATTTCAAAGGCACTTACTCAGCTTTCAACTTTAACCTTTAGAATTTGCATACCAGATACTTCAGAGCTGTGCCAGTTGGAGAATGCAACTGGTTGTAAGTTAGATCAAAGCAAAGCTGAGTAGCCAGTTTTCAATGCTTATATGTAAGACTAAACCGTCAATCTCCTTAAGGATATGTAAAATATGTTTAAGAATCTAGGATAGTAGCACAATTGCATTATTTTTTTGTTGTTTTTCAGGGATTGTTCTGTGGGATTTTGTTTGCATATTTTTAAATCCGGTTCCACTTTACTTGGTATTTTCCTTTTAGCAGAGGTTTCTGTTTGCTTTCTGAGGACAACTTGCTAGCTTTACTTTAAAGCTGATTCTCAGTAACAATTCTTCAGTGATCTAGTACTAGTTACACTGGTAATTTACTTCTTTCTCAAGACATCTCTTCAGAGGTGCTTGAACACCTGGATAATACTTGGGAAAAATCCTAGATACTATTGTCTAAACATTTTTTATTGTCAAATGGGTTTCTATTTTTATGACTATTTTGGTCTAGCACCCTTTTATGATAAAAGAGTGAGGATTCCACTGCACTATTCCAGGCTCTAGGGGAGGCTCTTCCCTCTCGGTTTGCCTGTATTGTTTGGGTGCCCCCATGTGAAGCTTTCAACAAATTCATAACTCCTCTAAAGCGTAACTCTGTACATAACAGCCTCCTTGGTGTCTGCAGCAGCACCTGGAACCCTACAATGTCAAAATACCAAATACACCTCAAGTACTAATCTACATTTACCATCCCTAACGCTAACTATGCTGTGTTACGCACATTTCTGAAATACTGATGGATATTACAGTAAGAAAAAAAAAATTGAAGTCTGAACCAAGATGAAAATGAATGTAGAAGGGCATAAAACATATATTTAAATGCAGTGGTAACTTGATATGAGATAATTTATTCAGGTTTATGTAATCAGAGTACTCCCTAGGCTTTATTTCTCATTTCCAAGAAGGTCCTGGCAGGATGACACATTGATGCCTTTTAGGAGATTACAGAGGCTTCGGTGTAATATTTAAGACATTGTCTTGAAAAAATTGCTTTTTGCAGTGTCTCAGTGGAAGGTTCAGTAATTTCTTTCGTTACTAGGAACAGGTATTATAGTAGTGACAATTTATATTTGTTTTTCAGCTGTTTTTACAGACAGTTTCATCATCTTGTCATTTGAGGACTGTAACCAACTCTGCTTTATTCAGTTTACAAAGAAGATGGATTCTCCTGATGTAAACAAAAAACTGGAAAAACTCTCTTGTTTGGACTTTAAGGTATAGCTGTCAGTGGTGGCTATTGATACTGCAGTAACTTTACATTATAAATCACTGATACTTGCTGATATGATATAGCAGTATAAATTGCAAACCTTTATATAACTGACCAGAGCAGCTTAAATTCTCAAAATGACAGTTATTGAAAAGTCAAAAAAAAGTACATGGCATTCTGAGTTAATGAGTTAAAATACTGTGCCAAGAGGAATCCAATTTTCTACTGTATTTAGGTTAAGGGCTCAGACACACAGTTGAGTTACCCCTGCTTAACAGATTACCTTGTGTCAGTTGAGCAGCAGTAACTGACCCTTTGCACATTCTGAACATCTAACAAGCATGAAGCAAAATCTGTAATGGTAAACCTCAGTGTAAAAGATTTAAGCTAATGTGTTTTACCTCTTGTTTGCTGTGGGCTAAAAGCGCCCGCATGGTCAATTACTACAGCCCAGCTGATATACACGAGCTCATGAAGGTATGATAATTCAGTCATCTGTCAGAGCTCCAAGACTGTTGTAATTCTTTGCAGAAACTTTAATTTTCCTTCTAGATACAGTAATCATATTGTTGGGAGAGTTGGTTTTACAATTAAGCCACTGAGCTAGGACTCAGGATATAGAAGCTGAGTTTCTTTACAACTGAGAAACTATGTGTGTGACCTTAGGGAAGTGACTTGGTGCTTCTGTATCTCAAGTCACTGCTTACACGGTGAAGATTAAAATACTCCTTTTTTCCAGCCCTTTATGTATGAGTGTGTCTACACTGCAGTCATAGCAGTAGCTGGAAGGTAGTCTAGAGATAGCTGAGCTGGTTTTAAACCAGCCAGTTTGGATGTCAGTAGAAGCTGACTGATCTCAAGCTGAATTATGCTGTGTCTTGGATGGATCAGGATGTGTAGACTTAACTTATTTTGACCGTAAACTCCTTGGCATCAGATCAGTGGCTGACCTTAGGTGGAAGTGCTTGGCACTACAACGGTGTGAAAAAGTAATCAGCCAAAGGCAATTAACTTTGAACAGACAGAGGAGGAAAGAGGTTGCATCCAGTTTACTGCAAGAATGAAGAAGAGACAAGCCTTTGCCCAAGAAAGGCAGAAGGATGCACTGAGCAAATGAGAGAGTTTCTGTGTATATCAGACTGGATAAATGTTGAGGAAAACAATCTTGTGCTAGCAAATATTTTCCTCTTGACAACCTCTCAGTAATGTGCTTCCTCACATAAGGCAGTTTGAATCTGCAAGGCAAGATTTTTAAGGGTGTGTTTGACTGAAGTTTTGCCTTAATACATTTGAACTTGCTTGGTAGAAATGCTTTCTGCTAGGATGAATATCTAATACATTTTCCAGGCTGTTTCAGTTCAGGGCCTCTTTTCAGCAATGACTTGTGTTTGCGAGATTGATCCAGCCTCTATAACGTGGATTTGAGACAGTTCACTGTTCACCAGGAACTGAGCTGATACGTAGTTTACTTTAAAATGATGTGCACTTGTGCCTGGCCTTTGGTGTTTGCTAAGGTTGTGTTTTACAAGCCAGTGTGGTGTGGGTTGTTTTTTTAATAGTGCTAAATTTTAATGAAGAAGCTGTGGTGAGCTGAAAACTGCCTTGATCATTTAATTGTGGGGGTTATAGCTCCTTAATTTATATTTATAAAATATATTTTCATTCTGAGTATTGCTGGGCACATTTTGGATCTAATGGTTACAGCATTTTTTTCCTGGGAAAGAAGGAAAGCCTAATCCATAGAAAACTGTCTCTGCCCTAGGAAACCAGAAATATCTGCTGCACTCCTTAATAGGGTTGTTACGTTCAGTTCTTTGCTGACACAGCTGAGCTTCTAGAAACGCCTCCATGTTCAATGTTAACTTTGCTTTCTCCTGAAATCAGTGGGAATCACTATGGATTATTTCTTTGCCAGCCAAAAAAAGGCATTTGCATTTTTTAATTGAATGTTCTTTTGTGTGAGGCTTGCTAGTTAGGCAGCTAAATATAATTTTTATTATCTTCAAAATTGCACCAGTGTGAGCCAGCAGAAGGTATTATTCACTACTGCATCGATATTACATCAGTTCTCTGCACTGAATTAGAGTTTTTCATGGCTGATTTTGGTGAGACTTACAAAAGCCAGAAGATCACAGACATAGTCAACACTAGTGTTGTTATCAGTAGTAACAAACAAAACAAAGATTGTACTCAATTGCAAATGTGCAAACTTGTAACAATACATAATTTAGAGAAATTAAATTAAAAGGTGACTTGCACTACTATAGAACTACTACAGGAATGAAATGTGGAGCTAAGATTCAGGAAATTTGGGTGTAGCCTTCCTTTCTGCCTCTGACTTTTGGTATAGCCTTGAGAAATGTACGTAGTACTTGGGTTTAAATTCCCATTTCTAATATGAGGAAAATGCTTACTTACAATCATATGTGATGTTATAATTAAATTTCTGTCATATTAACGTTTTAATTTCTTTAGTACCTGGACAGAAGTAACTTCATGTTGTTCAGTGTCTAGCCTCATGATGGGCAAAACTGGCAGGGAACGTTAGGCAGCACTAGACTGCAAGAGTGCTACTAATAAGAACACGTCAACCACGCTTTCCTGCTCACAGTTTGATATGTATCCAAAAGTTGGGGGTTTTATACAATACATACCTAAATGGAGGAATTACTTTCTCTATCATCTCTTTGTACATGATACCACCTTGGATTTTATTTACACTTTAAAAGGACAAAGGAAGACTTATTGTATGAATCACTACAGTCTTGAAGGCCATCAAAATATAAACCAAAATATTATTAATTTGTCCTTTCTCAGTGGCATAACCCATGTTTGAGAGTGCCATGTCTAATGCAACATATAAAGGTTTACAAGAGATTTGTGGCTGTTATTACACGCAAAATTGTTATGAATCGTTACTGCTGCACTACAGGACTAATTAATATCTGTGAAAGTATTTGTGTTTTTCCATCCTAATTAATGTGTTGTCACAAAATTAACTGTTTATCTGTAGTTTTGATTCAAGTACCTGTAAACCTTTACTTCTATTTTATCTTTACACTTTTACGTGTTTTGAGAAGTAAGTAAAACACAGGATATTCTGAAAATATTGACATTTTGCAAGTTTTTCCCATCTGGGTTTTTTAATCCATTTCAATTTACTGAAGGAGGAGACGGTACAAGGAGTTAAATGTTTACCATGAGAGAACAACATTGGTAATTACTTTGATTTCAGTTCCTTTTGATGTGTATTCAGGGGATGAAGAGGTCAATAATATTATGACCATGCAAATAGAAAAGGGTTCTTTTTGACCATATAAAAACCAGCAAAGGATTATTAAAGCATTAACCTTGATTTTAATGGCCTTGGTTGAGTGGTGAGATCACAATTTGGATGAGCCTGATTATTTACTAAATACAATACATAAATGCAACGGGTTCTTAACACCCATTGCACTCTGGCATTATCGCATTACTGCCATCCTTTGTTGCCTTGCAGACAGGAATATGAAAGCAATCTGTCATGTAGTGAGACTGGCTCCAGAAGCATTTCTCTGATAAGAAGACCCCCTGCCCTTTGCTAGTGTCTGGTCCAGTAGGCTTAGCCATGCGCTTAATCCCCAGAAAGTGGTTCGATTATTGCTGACCAGCAATGGCAAGATAGTTTTTTTTTTTCCCCTAGCTATCAACCTTCCATTAATTCCTTAAGCAGAAATGCGGTGCAATCTATATTTCCTTGGCATGTGTCACCCAGATGGTGCACTGCTCATGTTTTCAAATAACCATGCTCCAAAATAACAGAGTTTGAATAATAAATTCCACAAATCCTTCCTGAGAAAGAGGCACAATTCTCAAGAGCTGCATAAACTTTACGCATGATGCTGTAGCTCATCCACATTATGCAGAAAAGTATATATTCTCTTGTGGAGCGGATGTTTGTATGTGGATTCCTTAATTTAGGGAGGAAAAAGAAAGATATGTTTGCTCAAACGCTGCAGAATATATTTAATATTTGATTATGTCTTAAACACTAGCCTTAGCTCCCTGGTCAGCTTTGCAGAACTTGTCATTTAATATGGCTAAGCTTAAATCCTCTGTGTAGGTCGATGCTGTCAGGCAACCATGACTGTACATTTTGGTATTGATTGGAGTCATTGCAGTAAATTCCTTCTTAACTCACATTCCTTTCCTTCCAAATCCTCCCCCCCTAGATAAAAGTGTGAGCATGTCTTTTTCTGTCTGAGGTGATATTTTTTACATTTACAGACAGCCTATATGAAGATATATGTATGCAGTCCTCTGTGTATATATACATTCTCTTTCACACATCCAAAGATAATGCTCCCAATTGCTCCTACTATGCTATTTTATCACCTCAAATATTTCCTGCGTTTTTTCTTCCATCAGATTTCTTATACTGATATACTTGGACCAGAAGGTAGAAGGATGAAACGTCACCTGGCAATAAACTGTATGCAAGATATGGTCATTTGCTGGTGGTCAGCAACTAGTGATGGAGCATGGCCTTGGTCTCCTATTTCCTGTGAGAGGGACAGAGCCAACCTATTGCTATTAGGCTGTGCACATGGCAGATTGGAGGTAAAGTGCTGAACTCTCTTGTTATGTGATTTTTCTGATTTTCTAAAGAAATAACTATTCGACTTCAGTGCATATTCAGGTAGATATAAAGAACAGATACAATAAAATCGTAAGACAGGAAGATCAGCCTACTGAAAACAAAAGTGCCAGAGTACCACTAGAAAACTAATCTGAGTTAGAAACTGTAGCTGTTGCATGCTTGTCTAATACAATTATTTTACATTGTCTGCAGTGTTTACTGATAGGCATTTTATATCCATTTTGAGTGTTTTGTTATAAAATTTCAGCTACATGCAGATGCTGCTGAAGTTGTTATGAGAATTGATCCAATCGAGAACCAATTTTTTTTCTTAAAAGAAAAAGCCCAAATTCCCCATCTACAGGTGGGAATGTAAGCTACAAGTTAGAACAAAGCTACAACCTGACCCTCTTCCTGACGCTTAGCTTACCTTTTTAGACACGTTTCCATTGTTTGAGAATATTTGGACCCAGTTTCTTGTGTTATGTAAAAACTTAAAAATCAAGCTATCTGAAAAGAAGTGTACCCTGAATTTAAAATGTAAAAGATGTTCTGAACTAGTGTCTTCTATAGATGCTCCTGTATTGGGAGATTTATTGTCAGTTTAGCTTAAACCACTACTCACATGGACTAAAAAGGCACTGACCGTGGGAGAAGAGCACAAACCTGAGGATCAGCTGTGGAATAGCTGTTCTGGAGTAGCTATTACAGGCTATTTCCCTGTAGG